TAGTCTACTATTCAATAGAGGAGTTTCACAAAGTGTAGGTTAATGTTCGTCTATACCTACTTTGATGGGCTGATGGAAGTCTATTCAGATGAAAATGAGGTATGCAAGAGAATATTGATTGATTTCATTATATTTCCTTGAAGTTATGCGTTTCCTATTAATTATTTTTACCGTTTTAATGTAATTTGTATGTGGGATTGCCAAGCTTCGGCACGAATGGGTCGGCTCGATCGGAGTGATACCACGGCCTCACAGAATACCGGTGTGAAACAACCACAGCGTTGTGTTTGGCCGTGTGAGTGAGGTTACCGGAGGCCCAAACCCCTTCCCTTCCCCTGTCCTTTCCCAATCCTTATATCCGCATCCCCTAGCAGCAAAAGGCCGGCAACGCACTCGTAACTCTTTTGGTGTTGCGGGTGTCCATGGGCGACGCCGATTGCTTACCGTTAGGTTATCCGTCTGCTTGTTTGCCGACTTACAAAATAGAAAAAAATCTTGATGGTTTAGCTAGCCAGTTGTTAAAAATAATTATTGTTGAAAACTGGTTTTATTTCGATTTTTTTTAAGAAATAATCACATGAATAGGAAGTAAATAACATGTAGTAACTTCTAAAAATGTAAATAGAGACTTTGTAGTAACTTTTTTTGAAACTATTATATAGACTAAAATTACTATTCTTATTCTTTTGCGCACTTTTGTCATTAACATGCTTATCAGGAAAACTATAACTAAAACTCAGATCAATGACTCCAAATGCCAAATATTATCGAATAAGAATCAATTGAAGCCAATTTTATTGGTAGTCATTGAACTCTGTTCATACCTACTTACTAAACTTGTAACTAACTTAAACAGCATTGTTGATTAATTTTACGACTTTAAATAATGTGGCTTTAAAAATATTTTAGTATTTCAGACTTTATTTCGTGCCAATTTGAGATTTTGAGTTCGAAACAAAATTATTTTATTTTGTTTTTATTAAAAAAACGTGGCCCCACATTCGAATTTTCTCCTTTGTGTGGGTGCGGTTACAAATTGGTTGCTAACATACAATTTCACATGCACGTGACGCCCAGACCTGGAACAACAATTTGAGGATCACAAAAAGAATTGTTCCGTGCGGGAATCGAACCCTCGATACGCTGCACGGCAGCCAGTTGCCCAGACACCTCAAATTGTTCACAAAGAAATATTTTTTGGGGGTTTTATGAATATTTCCATTCATCAAATGCCTTTTCCGCCCTGGACGAGACCTCGACTACTCGGGTCTGGGGCCGCGGTACATAATTGCGCTTACAATAATTCAACAAACTAGACTATAAAGACCTTATTTCGACAATGTATAATATATGAGAAACACAGTGGTTTTTAGTGTATCGACAACTCTTACACGCCATATCGAGGCTGAGTGAAGACATTAGATGATTTTATTCCTCCCAAATTAAATAAAATTGGTACTTAAATACCACACAATAAATCCCAATCTGTAAGTTATATGGACAACCGATTTTATCATTTGTCACTTCTAAAACGGTTTTCATACTTAATTGCAAAGGTCAATGAACTATTTCATGATCAAAAGTCAATCATTTGACCATTGAACGTCCGCAAAAAATGCAATTATTGACGTAATCAACTAGTATTTAAACATCATTCGAGTTTGCAAATTGAGACTAATTTCATAATTATTGAAGCAACAATGCTAATAAACTAAAACTAAGATGCTTATTGCTTCGGTAAGGAAGAAGATAGTAACAGTGGTTAAGAGCCGATGCATAGGTTCACTTAAGTTTAATTTAATTGGCCACAAATCCAAAGTAGGTACTTACATACTTTTAAATTACGACGTTTTTTGACAATGTGTGCAATTCACTGATTGTTAAAGAAATTATCAAACAAGTGCTTAGGTAGCTCACATTTTATTGTTTTTTTTTCTACAGAGTCGATTCGCCACATACGCGAGTACTAAACGCGTGATGCGTATCATAACGGGACTTCGAGGTGACTAGACTACTCTTTAGCAATCCTATCTCAAAAAACAACATGTTTTTCTTGCATCCCAAACTGTAACACCTACATTTGACTCCAAAAACACGAAGCAATGAAGATTTTAATTAAAATCGTTCCATTTTTAACTGCCACCCCCGCACAGGGAATTCTCTTTGCTGTGGGTAGTTTTTAAAATCACAGAACGAAGGTATAAACAAACATGTCGGACATTTTCCTCTGTTGGACGTGGTACACAAATATTTATTTTGTATAGAAAAGACACGTTTTTGATATAACGAGCAAAGTATTTTTGCACTATATTATTTAGAGCGTTTACGCGGCACAGATTTTAAAACTTACAAGCTTTGGAGTCTTTATTTATGAGAAGAAAGATGATATGACTGATGAAGAACGGTTTCTTAAAAAAATAAAGAAAGAATAAGTATCTTCTTTAATTTCAATCGTTACAGTAGTTATAATTGTTTTTGACATAAATTTATATGAAATTGCGTGCTGAATAATACCTGTTAAGTAAGGATAAAACTGATAATTTCATAAGGTTACTGATTAGTATTGAAGGAAGGGTAGGAGCATGCCAGAATCCGAGGAATTTCACGACCCCTTGTACCTGTTGATACCCCTAAACGAGCAAATTCACGCTTTATGACATAGGTATTACATAACATTACTAGAGGTTCTCCTAGGCCAGTTTTTTGTATCTATTGCCAATAAGATATTAATAAAGATTATGGAATGAACCAAAACAGTGTACACCGAGCTCGAGCGAGCACTCGAGCACGCAACGAGTAACTAGGAAAACATTGCAAAATCTAGATCGTTCTATTAACAACACCAGCAAAACCTTGACAAAACAAAGAAAATAGTTAGCGCAATAAATAATAGAAATTACAAAAACTTACTAAGGTTTTAATTGAAAATGTTGGAACTACTTTATAACAATCGCTCTAGGTTGGAACTTGTAAGCTGAGACTGTGGTTTCCTAGTTGGCAACAAGTTTGTGCCATAAGCTACGAGTACTTAGTTGTCGAGTTTACAACAGACGCATGAATAGACGCTAAGCGCATCGAGTTAGGCACGCCATTTGTTTTTTTTTTTTTATTAATAACTAGCTACTACCAGAGCGGCTTTAAATCGGGTGAAAAGTAGCCTGTGTTATTTCAGAGTACAATCAAAATATTTTTAGTAGTTTATACGTAAAGAAGTAACAAACATCCTTCTAACATCAGACTTTCGCGTTTATAATTTTCAGTAGGACTATTATTTGTCACTAATAGATATCTAATGAAGATTTAAAATAGTATGTTTGTTATTATTGGTAATTTTTACTACATTAATGGATAAATATAGCATTCAGACCGTCTTCATGTCAGAGTTAAAATACTATCTTCAAATCCCCAAGATTGTGGATTGGCCTGTGGTCCCTTTATTAATATAGAAGAGGCCTATAATCCAGCAGTTGCCACGGACTGTTACTGTGAAACTACTTCATATTTCAACTAAAGTATAATATACAGGTACTTTTGAAACGTCAAACACACTACACTAGAATAATAGTCTGTCAGTGTACCGGTACGTGAAGCTAGGTGCTCGTTTTAACATTAACGATTCCAATGTAGAAGAAAAAGCTCGAAACTGTATTGCAATCTGAAAAATATTCTAATTTGGTTTCCGAAACAGTTTGTTTATTGTTTTTTGAAAATTAAGAATATTTTACAAAAAGGATTATTGTTGACGTGTTGTGAACAGCACTTGTTTTACCATGTCATCAATTTCAAAATTGCTTCCATTGAGATTGTGTTAGAGCTAAGAAGAGGTTTTATTTAGGGAAAACAGTGTAAAAGCAGTTGAGGTAGGTACCGGCCACGTTGACTGGCCACTTTCTTACTTTCTTCACTATAGGTATAGGTACCTAGTTAATTCGTGGCTAAATGAATACGAAACTCGGAACTCTTCTGTGCCAGATGTAGTGTAAATATTCTTCAAGAAGGTTTTGTTTCGACGAACCTCAAGATAAAACCTGATTCTTCGACCTGCAATTTACAATTTTGTACAAATGTTACTGAAGTTTGGTGTATCAGCCTAGATTGTAGGTTAATAGGTATGTAAGAGCCAAGGTTACGGGCCAGAGCGTACCTACTTTTTTTTAACTAAAAAATCATCATTGTTTTCTCCCTTGTTGGTTGGACTGAGAGTCAGGCCTCAAGACGGAAACGAATCGGAAAAGCGCAGGCAATATTTAGGCTACTGTTAACTATACTGATTTCATAGGTATCCACTATGTGATCTAGATCTAAACTTCCTATCTAAGTACAGTAAATATAACATATAATAATAAGTATACCTAAAATCTACATAAACTACTACAAGGTATTCCTAGGAATAAAAGTATTTTGTAAAACTCTGTACTTTCTACAAGGATACTTACTGAGCTACGTATAATTATATGTAGGTAAATAATTGAGCCTACAATAGAAAAATCTGTCGTATTTTTACCATTACTAAAATGATGGGCGGTTGGCAAACAGTTGCGGTGGAAAGGTGACAGGATAATAAATGGATCATGCGGTACTCTCGGGATTAGGACGTTTTCACTGGTTTTCAGGAGCCGCTTGGGTAGGAATGTGTAGGAGTCAAAAATCGTCTTCATTCATAACGCTGGAAATAGGCACGCAACAATGATCAAACAATTTTAGTCGTTAAATAAACGAGTTTTTTTTCGTAAACACCCGCATTTCACGTGTTTAGCGAATCACTGATGATTTCATATCAACACGGCTTAACGCAAATAACAATTGTAATTTAAAAAAACAATAAACTTTAAAAAAAAAAAATTGCAGTATTAATAAAACTTTACAGTCATGTACTTCAGATATTGTAGAAACAAAGAGTACCTACCTAATATTTACGTCGTTGTATAATCAACGTTATTTATAAACAGTTTACATGCAACCGAGTCCGAAATCATGCGGGTTGAATGTTCACAACTAACCTGTTGCCAAAGTACGCCTGGGAACGGCGAAATATCACCACCGCTCCGCTACAGTTCCAATTAGAATCCAACTCGACACTAACTATACGAGAGAAACACTGTTTACAACACTTTAAAATCACAAAACAGCGAACAGAAATCTATTTGAAAAGTTTTAGATAAAAATTGCAACACTACTTTTTAGCAACAAATATAAATATTTAATACTTTACACACACAAAAAGTATATTTTGAACAATATTTCACAATATGAGACTTGGGGTTATTTAAATATTTACACAAAACAGATTCATTTTTGTTGACGATCGTTTTGGCGGCAAAATCGACACTGACACGTGTTAGCTCGGCGCGGGTATAACTGGACTGAGGCAAAAATGGCGGTGGCTGGTCGACGGCGACGAACGGCGCCGCGCAGTCAAAGATCATGCGTGCAGTGCACAGGTGAGAGAATTTATGTACAGGTAGATTTATTTAATGATATGGGTAGATTTAATTAGTTGCATAAAACCAATGCAACGTTTGCCTTGCCTTGTTTTGTCTCAAAAAGACTAATGAATCTAATAGACGCCTCTTTATTTTTCAATTAAATTCACTATACTTTTTAGGAAAAATTTTTTTGTCAATTATGCATCAACCTAAGTTTAATTGTCAAAGATAAGACTTAAAAATTTAAGACTTTAAATATAATGGCCACTAAAATTAGCAAGACCAAGAACTAGGTAGGTACCCAACAAGCTTGTCTACCACATAACTTATTATTATGTTATAAAGTAAAGTATTAAGATATCCTTATCCTTATGATAAAATAATTGTGTTGTACTACGAAGATTAGATATTTATTAGGTAAGTACTTACCTCCTACAACTGCGCTGTCTCATCTTCGCTTTCTCTAGCTTAATCTATGATGCAAGCAACAGTGCAGCGCTACCGCCCGATGCAAAAACCGGTTTTTGAAAACATAAAAAAATACTTATATGGCTGCAAAATGCAAGTAGATACTATATTTAAGGATAACATATCTATTATGAAATCATAAAAACCGGAGCTAATCTTAATCGACTTGTGCTTTCAAAACAAGAATAGTTAGATAACTTTTTTACTTGTAACGAGAATTATAGTCAATTTATTTATTTTGATTTTAGAATGTACCTATCTATAAATCACTTGGTTTGTTTCGGTTCCTTTTATGGTGTAAGTTTTACAACACATTTTTGTTAACTCAGTTCAACATCACTCCGAGGAGAGGATTGTCTTCTTCTAAAGGAAAAGTGTAGAGTTCCCACCATATCTCAATTTGTTACATATTTTTCGATATCTAAGAAGTACCTAAGTACCGTATAGATAAGTAGGTACGGTATTAGGATTTTTTGTGGGGGGAAATCCTCAAATGGGCGAGAGAAGTTCTCGCCTAGGATGGGGCTAGAGGAAGTGTGACCTTATTGCCCTTGACCCGCAACCTCGATTAGGGTTGCGTGGTTTTTATAACAAAATAATAACATATTATGTAGCCATATACCACACCACAGTATAAATATCATACAGTATTGTAACTCGGCCGCTTGAAAGAAATAAATACCTACAGCCGCGCGGTACGTAAACATGCGTTAGGGCTGCTCGTCTCCAGTATTTTAATTACCTTTGTCTACTTTCTGTTTCCATTTAGTTTTGTGATTGTAAATATCCATTTTTATATAAACAAATAAAGTGCTTTAAAAATAAACAAACAAAATTTCTTTGGCCACTAATGCCGAACTGAACAGCTGACTACGAATGTTCTAAAATCACAACCCTCAAACATCAAAATATTACATGAGTCTAGCTGTTTTATTGTTGTTATTAAATATTTTCTAGTATTATTCATAAACGCAGATAATAAACAAATATTATTAATAATAAAATACCACACACTCTACTTTGAATTATACAAACTAACAAAACATACATGAACCGTTTTAACACAAGCGTAAGTAGGTAGGTACCTAACGTATCATGATTCATTCAGAACCAGAACCGCCTATAACTACCTATTTCACTCGTCTCAATAACTTTATTCATATTATTTATAAATTCAAACATCTGTTTTCGTGAGATAACTGGAAATAATGATCCATAAAGACACACATTATGTACCTACCTAGGCTACTAGTAAGTAAAATTATTTTATAGTCTTACCTTTCAGAGTTTCCAGGTAATTTAAAAAAAACTTATGTCTGGATGCGTTATTGACGAATTCATGCAACCAAACATAATAACAGCACAATATTTCCTATTCGTCACATTAAATAATGTACTCGAGCTGATTTCTAAATAAAAGACAACACACCGTCCGTTCGTCACTGCGGTACAGCCGCGTCTGTCTGCGTCCCGAGCGCGTCCCGACATCGGGCGCGTAGGTATAGTTCGCGTTTCGGCCGTTTCTATGAAGTTGAAATACTTGTAGATATTATTACCTTGACCACACCGTTCGTGATTCCATATCTACCTATTCCACACACTATACCTACCTAAATAAATTAAAAATAAATTAAAAAAAAAAACAAAATAGAAATCAGAATACTTACTTCATTATTTATGGAAACTTGAACTCGGACGCTAGTACCTACACTAGGAATTTTTCCAGTGTCTTGGTTGACAAACACACAACATAGGTACAAAGAAGAAAATAAATTGAAACCGCGGCACGTAAGCACATTGCGTTGCATAGCGACAGCTCGCCCTGCGATTACTCTAAAAGGGTGAAAAACTAAAATTATACGAGGCCATGGGCCGTATGACGACAAATTGAATTTAAAAACACTAAAAGAAAACAATATGAAGGGAAGAGGCAACCTTTTGCTTATGGCGTCACTAGTTCATAGTATACTTATAATGTAGGACAAAATAATGTTTTATTTTGCGAAACAAAGATGAAAATATTCACTAGAAATGTAGGCCGAAACCGAAACGAATTGGTTTGGTTAAGCTCAAAGAAGGTCCGGGTACAGATCACATAGAAGCCGTAGTAATATTTTTATTCTGTAATTTTGTGACAGGACTTGCTCTATCTCTTTCACTCTTTTGCTGATCGGCTAATCGGCTCATATTGGCCGTGGATTCGTTGCTCTATTCTTTAACTCTATCGGCAACTTTGCTTAGAGAAAATGTCAAATCATGCGAATGCGACTTTAGTTTTCATTATACTAATCCTTTAGAGATAATAAAGGTTTTTAAAGAAATCAAGGTCAAATCAACTGAGGACCTTTGGGGACTATCCGTGAAAGTCTGCGGATCACTTATCCGAACTTTAGCGCCGTATCTGGTTTTGATTTTCAATAAAAGTATAGATGACGGTGTCTTCCCAAACCTAATGAAATACAGTAAAGTTATTTCATTATTCAAAAATGGTGACACTAAGGAACCAAACAACTATAGGCCTGTGTCTGTTCTGCCTGTTCTTAGCAAAGTGTTCGAAAAGTTAATGCTATCTCGGATGCTTCATCACTTTGATAAACATGCCATCTTCCATCACCAACAATACGGTTTCACTAAAGGGCGTTGTACAACGGACGCCGGTGTCACGTTGATAAAGGAAGTACTCGAAATCATTAATAATCAAATATTATTAAATAAATACTCGGTGCTTGGGAGGAAGCACAAAATGCTGTTGGTGTCTTTTGCGACCTCTCAAAAGCGTTCGATTGCGTGAAAAATTTGCAATTATTTGAAAAAAGAAGCGATAGACATAATTTTAATACAAGAGGCAAAGATAGGCCGGCTGTGCCACGATTCCGTCTGTCCAAAGTACAGAAATCCTTTATGGGGTTCTGTGTAAATTGTTACAATAAAATTCCAAGTACTGTATTGAATCTTAACGAACGAAAATTTAAAACTTATATTAAACGCGAATTGTGTAGACAGGCATACTATAAACTTTCAGATTATATTGAGGATAAGAATGCCTGGCAGCGTGTTGATTCGGCTCCACTGGACAATACTGAAATAAAGTCAGCAGTTAGGTAAAATCCTCAAAAATAATGCATCCTTAATTTATATACATATCCAAAAAGTTTATATAGAAGCACTCTTAAAGATTGTGAGTACGCATATGTGAGCATCATGGTCGAGACGACAAAGGAGTAAAATTTTATGATAGGTCCCCTCATTTCTTCTTTTTTTTTAACAACTTGTCCCTATATTGTTCTCACATAAGGGTACAATAATGTATACTATAAATGTTATATTATTGAAATTGTAAAACAATTTTTTTTTTAAAAGAGTAACGAATGGTGTTTCTTGCTCGTTCTTCTCCATTCGAATCTACAATTTGGAATGAGCACCTAGCTTCACTGACGAACACACTGACAGACTACTTCTCTATTTTGACGTTTCAAAAGTACCTATTTATGGTTTAGTTGGAATAAATGATTTTGACTTTGACTTTGATCGGCTTTTCGGAAACCGGGGGTTAGACTCTTCTAAAAACCACCCCAGGTTGGCCCCACCCTAGGCAGAGCCGCGTATCGCGCTTACGTCCGTAACGCAACCGAAGAAGCACCGTCAGGAGACAAATCGAGCAGATTTATAAAAAAAATTCGGTTCGAGCGACCTCACTCTCATGATTGACCATAATTGGGTAGTGTCCTAGGTCAAAAATAAATTAAATCGACGTTTTAATACAATAAAATATTGAAAAATAACTATACTTTTATTCATCGATCGATTGATACACTAAGTTTTAGATTTTTTTAGCTCATTATTCAGAAATAAGTAAGCTATTTGACGCAAAACTGTTATGACGTCATACCTCAGTTTTTCATACAAATTTCATAGAAAAGTATCGTTTTCGACATTTGGATGGATTGTATTGAATTTGACTAGTTGGAAACTACCGTACGCGTATTTTTCATACCTACAGCGAATTCCAAAAAATCCACAATCACACCTACCTATGTATGATTAATAATGTGTTGTCTACTTCTTCGGTGAAACTTTCCAACTGTTGACGACTTGGCTCAACAGTTGACATGGTGACTGAGCAACCGGCTACCGTGCAACGTGTTGCGGGTTCGCCGATTCCCGCACGTAAAACTCTTTGTGTGACCCATAAATTGCTGATGAACAATTACATTATGTTGATGTTTAAATGTGAAATTGTGTGCACACACAACAGAGGACAAAATCGTAGAGTTGAGTATGGTTTTATTTAACAAAAAATGCTCCCATGATTGTAGACCTAAGTACTTAGATATATTTTCCTAACGATCAAAATTAGGTAATGACCAATCAATCTAAATCCTAATCCATGTTAATTGTGCAATATTAAAACCGATTTTTGGCATTAGCTTTAGTTTTTTCAGTTGAAAACCATTTTTTTTTAAATGTTGTGGGTTTTTTTTGTGAGGGGAAAATCATCAAATGACTTTTCCCGCCCAGGGCCGGGCGAGAGGGAGTGTCAGACCCTTACTGACTAAAAACCCCCCTGTTCCTTCTCCCGCTCTGGGCCGAGGTCGCGGTGCCTCATTGCGCTTACCTCGCAAACCCGGCTGAACATCAGCCCTTTAGGGCCCCGTCTGTGGTGGTCTATTGGGTCTTTGAGGTGCGCGCGGAACGCTACGCGCCGTACGATCGGGCCTGGAAATGTTGTGGGTGCGTTTACAAACATACAATTTCACATGCACATAACACCCAGACCCGGAACGATAATCTGTGGATCACACAAAGTGTTGTTCCGTGCAGTCCAAAATAGATCCTTAGGATGGATTTCAACCTTACGTTGTCCCTAAACTCAACGTTTTTGACGGGGGCAAAATATCAAGTGATTTTTACTGCCCTGGGCGGGGCCAGCGGGTCAGAATCATTCTTCTGACTAAAAACCATCCCGTTCCTTCTCCAGCTCCGAGCCGGGGCCGCTGCACAGCCGCAACTCCGGCGGGACATTAGCCCTAGTGGGGATCTGTGTTGGCCGACGCTCCATACGTTCGGATCTGGTTTTGGTCGGGCGATGAGCTACCCTTGCTCACGGTCCGCAGACACCAACGCGGTTACAGTGGCCGGAGATCGTCGCGCGCTCCCCGACCAACGCCCAGATTGTCTTCTGCCGCAGTTGGGACGTAAGGAGAATCCCTCCAACCCTCACGTGTACCTACCTACCACCTGAACCACCTCCTTCTTCTTGAGCATAACTGCCTCGCAGAATTAGTAGACGACTGGTCATTCCGCACCGTAGCCTGAACATAGGCGTGTGAGAGCTTTAATTTAGCCGAAATTTTACACTGAAATTCGGGCCACCATTCGTCGATTGTACGTAAAGCCTTTCCCTCCCCTTCCCCAGACCCTAAAATCCCCCAACCTAACAGCAACGCACTCGTTGCCTCCTTGGTGTCGCGACGACGATTGCTTACCATCAGGTGATGCATCAGCTCGTTTGCCGCCTTATACCATAAAAAACTTAGGTCATTATTACGTAACGAAACAGTTAGGTCCCTGAACAGATGGCCATGTAAATACAATTAGGCTTCCAAGATCGATTACTTACCTAAGTAACTATCGTATTGTAAGATTAGATCTGAGGAAATTAGGTTAGGTTAGGTTAGAACTAGGTACAAACTCTGTATTCTGAACCTATCTTCACCTAGGAAAATTTCTTAATGGATTAGTAAAGAATATGTGGATGTATATCTTATTAGGCAAAAAAAGGTGAAATAATTTCAAAAATTTTTCATTATTAGTGTCATCTACTTATTTACTAGAAACTGTTTTCACACTGCATTACTATATGTATAGTATAAAACCTTTATCCTTACGTAGGTATGCTCAAACATTTTTTTTTGAGACGGTCTTTTTTAAGGTGGATGAAGGTCAGCTTTGCATCCGTGCGAAGCTGGGCCGGTTGCTAGTTAAAATAAAAAACATTTTCAAAATACCTCATGTTATTAAGTCTATACATTTATAGACATACCTACATATTTATATTGCACATTCTTTACGAAACAATAGCGTCAGCTTCTTATTTCCTATAGGTAAGCAAATGATGAAAGTCATGGTATTAGCTAATCTTAAAATAAATAATATTTCCTAATAAAAAGATACACTCTGCACTTAGACTTTAATTTTATCAAGAAAACAGACAGCAGCTCGTGATAATTAGGTAATGAAATATGCAACTAAACTCAACCTTACTAAGGTAATAGTGAGGTTTATTGAAGATGACGACTTATTCATGAGTCAATTCAAACTAGCCACGCCGCGGTTGATAAAAAAGATTCCCGTACGTATTACTAAAATAACTTGAAACTAATAGAAGTCGTCATTTCAAGAAATTTAGTTTGTCTCATTGTTGTTATTACACAAAATAGCTATATATTTGTCAATCGATTTTCATGAGAATTAACATTCATAGTTTATTATCACTGCACTTAATTATTATAAATAGAAATTGTTAAAAAAATAGAAAGAAATATTTAAAACACTAGGAATTTTATAGCTATACATTTGATACATTTTATTTTGTCCTAAACATAAAATTATAATAAATAAAAATAGCAACATTTAAAACATAGATTTCAATCTAATAGATTTTCTCATATCATAAAACTTAATCTATCAATTGACTACTTTATTTGCAAATAAAGAATAACTACCCCCTAAATAAGGAGGCTCTTCACAGAAGAAAATGCACATTGATAGGCTTACAAAACTCAAGTCTCAAATTATTCTCGAAACTAGCAATGTTTAAAATTTAAAAACAGTTATGACAGAATTGGAGAAATATTTACACTATTTAACTTATTTTCTACAGGACATTCTTGTTTCACATTTAAAGGTTTTGATTGGTCTAGTGAGTTTGGAGATAAATCATTGTGTTTCTTAGCTAAGTGCCTTCGAAGTGAATCTCTAAGGAAGAAGCCTTTATCACAGTGTCGACAAACAAAATTCTGTTCCATATGTCTCTTCTGGTGGATGGCCAGCTTATCTTCATTCTCTATAAACATGCCACACATTAGACAAACTACATTTGTAGCTGTATGCCTAGATATGTGTGTTCCCAACAATCTTGCTGTGGTGGTCAAGTACCCACACATATTACATTTAAAAGTTTTAGCTTTAAAATGGACTCTTCTACGGTGATTACAAAGTTCACCCATTGTGAAAAAGTTGGCAGGACAGCTTTCACATGTATAACTTCTAACACCGCTATGTCTTTTCATATGGTTCCTTAAAATGCTAGGATTTTTTAACATTTTCTTACAAACTTCACATTGAACAGATTTTGTTTCATGATTCAGTAAATGTTTGTATAATTTTTTGCGGCCTTTGATGTGTTTGCCACAGTATTGGCATGTGCCCACGATTTTGTAATCGTTGTGATGCGATTCCCTGTGTCCTTGTAATGAGCTATGTTGGGTGAACCATTTCAAACAATCTTTGCATTGATACCGCCGAATACCGTTGTGTGTAACCAAATGAGCATCTATGTCCTTGATGTTTTTAGTGTGATAGGTGCAATCTTTACAATGAAAAATTCTTTCTTTCCCCAACCCCTCAATACGGACTAGTGTGGCAGCATAACAGCTTCTGGTCATTTTTTTACTATGAACATTGAAAGCTTTGAAAGTTTTAAATGTCCGTTTACATTTAGGACATATTAATTTGTTGGGAAGGTGGACTTTCTTCCAATGAACACTAAGTTTACATTTAGTTTTAAAAGTTCCACCGCAGTCATCGCAAATTATCTGTAAGTCTATGGCTTTACTTTTCTTTTCCCTTTTGACTTTCTTATCATCATCAACCTCATTTGTTTTGTCATTTTCTGTAAGTGTTTCTGCTTTTACTGTTAAGTCATTTACAGGTTCTCCATGTTCAGATACTACACCATCATCTAATTGTTCTATTTCATTTACAGACTCATTATTTTCAGATTCAAGTGGTACATTAAAATTTATTGAATCCTCAATTTTTACAAACACAGTTTCAGTTTCTTTTTTTATCTGATCTGGTTCTTTTACTTTGTTGTCAGATCTTTTAACCTTAACCTCATTTAATTTAGGTCTATTTTTCAGTACCACTTGTTGATCTTGTTTACTGATCAACTGCTGGACTTCATCCTTATGTTCAGGTATTGAGGGGCATGACGAATTGTTCCTTTTTATTGTGTTATCAACATTAACTTCCTTTGTAAAAGGAAGTTGGATAGTGACATCGCATCCTTTAGATGGCTGGTGTACAATAGTCTGTAGGATTTTGTTAGATGTTTCACATTTCTGCTTAAAAATGATTGCAGTTTCAAGTTGTAATAGGCAGTCAGTACATATTTTTGACGGCAACCCATCATTTTCTTTAATTTCGATGTTGGCTATGTACTTTATCTTGTCTGTTATTATAAAGTGTTTGTACTTTTCGAACAATGACAATGTTCTATACTTTTTATTTAAATCGCATCTCAAACAAATTCGACAGTCGATATTCTTTTGTTCTTGACTCATTTTGTGTTTAAATATACAAAACAATACACGATCACTTCCAAATTTGCAGTTCACATTGTAGTTCACGGTTCAACACTAATGTCAAAATCTGATTTTTAGTAATAATTTTCCATCGTTATACGTTTATATATTTAATAAGTGAATGAATTTCCTTTAAAAATGATGCAAAATCAACAAAACAACTTTATGTAAACATTGTTGATTTTCTTCAATAATATTGATAAAAAATGTGACAGTTGACTTTAATGACAATGTCAACTTCAGCGTATTTGTGGTTTTAAAATAAATTTTGGTCTTTAGATACGAGTCAAATAAGCCGACATCTACAAAAAGCTGAAAATCATGTACTATAAGTGTGGGAGAGCCATGCTTCGATACGGATCAATCTCCGAAACTGGCGTATTCGTGTGATCGCTCTGGTGCTTTTCAGATATTGATATTTAATGGTAATTATATATCTTATAACAAATAATGATATTCAAATAGTACATTTTTACTATTGGCCTTCAATTTACATAAACAGTTATGGAAATATTTAAGTTTAAAAATTTTTGCGACCAGAGCAATCATAATTGGTGCCAGAGCAATCAAAAACTGTGAAATTAGTGAAACAAAAAATTAATATTGATAAAATATTATTTATTTAACCGTTTTCAGTGTTATTCAGGGTACGTGTAACAAGATTATAATAATATGTTAGAAATGTACACTTTCTAAACGCGACCTTCATACAGGAACGGGAACGTCTCGTTTTCGAGACGTTCCCATTCCACGGGAACTACAAATGTGGGTAAAAGATCTGCCGGAAGTCACTATTCCACGCGGACGAAGTCGCTGGCAAAAGCTAGTATAAAATAATTGCTTAAATAACAAATTAACATAACTATAAAAAACAACTTTTTGGCTTAGTTTCATTTATTTGGACTTAATTAATCACTTCTAGGTAAAAGACACAAAATTAAAAATATTTTGAAATCAACCAACCTACCTACATTCTTTTATAGTTATAAAATGACTTAGACTCATTAAATATTAGCTTTTAAAAAGTAATTAAAGAAGATAAAATTCTAACAAAAAAACAATTGGTTAAAGTAACTATTTGTAATCATAATGCTTAATAGGACTTAGAATTATGACTAAGATTATGACAGTCTTTTCAAAATTATCTAAGAGATTTGTAATAATCACATTTTCCTTAACTATATCTTTAGTGGAAAGTAAAGAATTAAAAAGAACAACACAAAGTAAAATGCAATTCAGATGATCAGATCAGATTAAAATATTGTTTGAAAATTATAATGATACAAATTTTAACACCAAAATACAATTTCTATAAGGCTCAGAAAATTGAATAGTCATCGGAGTCGGATAAATCTTCTGCTGCAGCAGCCTTTGTCAAGGTTTTATCGTTTTGCAACGAAGATAAAACTACCTCGGAAATACTTGGAGTAATTAAATTTTCATAGTCAATAGATGGGACTTCATCCCAAAAACTATCCGGCAGGTCCGAGTTATGTAATGATTCTTGACTTTGATTTGCAGTTATAGTCTGTCTATTATTTAGCATTTGTGGAAGCTGAATTTGCTTCTCCTGATCGCAGTTTTTTGAACGCTTGACCAGCGAAGGCCGACTGGTCTTCTTTGATGTCCGTGACATGTTTTTCTTTGAGGTGTTTAGGTTCGGGTCGCTATCAATTTGGTAAAAGCCTATGTGATTGCCGTGCGGACATTGTACAGCTTCTTGTGAACAATTGCCTAAATCGCAGCTTAGTCGCCTCATGGCCAAAACGTTTTTAGTATTCGCTGACCAAATTACTTGATGTACCTTCATAGTACCCTGAAATTCTTTTATATCTTGGGGGATTAACATGTCTTTTTCTAATATGGCAGATTCTGCAACTTCTTCCAGGATAATTCCTGACACATTTGTTTTGAGATAAGCTAAAAACGTTTTCGTATCAGGTATATCTAATCCATGAGCCACCATTTTATCGGCAGTCCTTTTAAGCGTTCCTCCAACACCATCAGGAGCACCTTTACCGTGACCCTTTTCCGAATAGTTCCATATAACTTTTCGTAGACTTGGGTATTGCCAGTGTAGTTTTGATATAATATGAAACAATTTCTTGTTTCGGTATTGACCCGAAGGTGAGTCTGACAAGAAGTGCAAAGACGTTACTCTAGGCAATGTGTTTTCTATATAAAGGAGGACTGGCACCAAATGTTCCCAAACAGCTACAGCGTCATGTCTCAAGCTCTCACTAATCGTACAGAAGCACTGTGACTGGAGTAACTCATCTTCTTTGTAATAAATTACTACGGTATGCAAGGTTACTTGTTGGCGCGAACCGCCAAAGTGAAATGATTGAATTTCAGTCGCGTATTTGGTATTATAATTTTCACTGAAGTCACAGTGGATTAAACACTCATCGTAATTTAAATTAGCTTTAAGTTTTTTAATGTAGCTATTCTGGGCTATAATATTGGCGCAGTGATGCATGTACGAGCTGCATATATTTTCAAAATAATTAATAACATCCTTGGGATTAGCTTCGACTTTTTGCTTTAAGGTTTGTGTAGTTTTCATTTCTTTTCCATTTTTCATGTAAGTCTTCTTGATCTTGGTCCACTTAAAATATTCAATTTGCTTACTGTTATCAAACTCTTTATATTCCAGGTGTTTCTCTTTACAGATAATGCAACATCTTGTAAGGCAGTCTATACTTCTCAAATTACACGTTAAGGAGGTTAAGATTTCCGTTGATGATTTTTCTTTAATAATGCAGTATTTTTTCAATGATAGGGTAACCAAATCCATGTTCTCATGCTCTACACAAAGACATGTATCACGGCATTTTGCATCTGGGATAACGGCCCAAAAGGCAAACGTAGCTCGTAGCTTACAAAAGAAGCTGTAACTGATGTTGTGCTGTGGAAATCTTAAAGTAAATTTTTGGTGCAAATTGTGTAAGGTATCATTTAAGTAGCGCTTTTGCTTTTTTATTTTATTTCTAGTAATAAACTCCTTTTTCCCAGATGTCATGCGGCTAATATCATCATCTTCAAAAAACAGTTTTATATCTTTTATTAATTGTTGTTTTACTGTATATTTTATTTCTTGTACGTTATCTTTGTTAGGAGTTGAAACCAACATTTTTCTTTCTAAACGTTTTCCTTCTTTACTTTGTTTTTTTAACCTGTTCAACTGTCTTCTAATACGTTCATTACTTATTTTCAACTTTTGAATCTTTTGATCTTTCAGTTTTAATTCCCTATTAGCTTTATATTTCATCCTTCTTAATAAAGCTTTCCATGGAGAGGTTTTTTTTGCAACTGACGATATTTTATGTTTAGGGAATAAATCTAGACTTTTTTGAGACGTATTTGATATGTTGCTAATAGAACTTTGTGGACTATCGGGACAGATGCTGGAGGAAGCACTACCAATGCATGTTAGTTCGTTCGTTCGTTCAGTACCTTGCGATAGCCGCTGAGATCTTGTTATTCGTCTTAGTCTACTAACCGGTGATGCGGGTGTATCAAAATTAGCCACATTGTCATATTCTTTAGAAGTCTGTGGAAGACAAAAACTTGTCTGAGAATGATCTTTTACACGATTAATAATGTTAAACTCATTTTCAACATCTTGTGTTACAGTTTGCAGTATCTTTCTATGTTTTGTTGTTACTTTGTAGGTGTTTAAGGTTGGAGCTGATTGAGGAACATTTGAAAGAGGATCACGGTTCTCAGATTTATAGATGGGTTCTTCATTTATTGGGAGCTCATCGGTTGCTGATAACTTATCCATTTTTTTCTTTAGATAATATCGTCGAGAACTCTGCCTACTTTTCTTCCTACGAATCTTTTGCTGGCTTGGAGTCAAAACACTCATTGGTAGTACTGTGCCCCGAGCTTTTTTCCTTTGGTAACTCTCTCTTGACTTTACAAGCCATTGCGCGTATAAATCTGGATCATTTTTTATTTTGGCCATTCTACGACGCTCAGCCAATTTCTTCCTAAGACGTTTTTCTTCAATTGATAATTTATTTTGAGGCATAATTTAAATCTGCAACAATAGTTGCCATTAAATTTTAGAGAAGAAAGGATTATAGTTGTGGTTAACTAAATTAAAATATAATAATAATATCATTAAGATAAAATACGTCAAAATCTGTTTATCGATTTAGCTTACCCAAAGAAACCCAACAAAGGCTATAAATTAAATGTTATATGCATCGTTTGTCATTATTACAGTTCGGTAATACTACTTAAAATAGATTTATAACGTCCAATTAATGTAAAATATCATCGCTCTGGTCCTTTTGGACAGAGCAATCACAGCCATAGCGATCAGATAAAGTCACAAAATCATAAATATAGCCGAATGTAAAAGCAGAAGACAGTTGTGATTACTTCCCACAAAAACATCACAACGATTACTTAAATCACATAACAAACACATTCACAAGCTTACTATTTATTTTTAATAACGTGCCATAGCAATCATAAAATTCGAGAACCAAATACAGAGCAATCATAAACTTACCTTCGTAATGTTGGAGCGCGGGAACGTGGCACACATGTATCCTGCTCGGCGGTTAGATCACTACTGGCGTTGCCCCGCGGGAGGGGAACATAGTGTCTAAAACGCGTATCTCGGGATGTGCGCGATGTTTTACCTCAGCGCAGAGCGATGAGATAAAATGCCCGGTCACGATTTTAAATTCAAATTGTGGCAAAAGTATTGTTAATATAACTAAAAATATTTTATTACTATGAAGAAAAACTATTTGTTATGTAATCTAAATAAGTTGTTTGATATGAACCTTCTCATTAAAAATTTAAAGAACATTTTTTTCATTCAATCGGGAGTTGGGTCAACCCAGAGCGATCAGGATTTTAATGTGTAAGAATTTTTTTTATATATTTAAAATAAACTTATTTATAATATAAGCCTTGTGTCATGTAGATTAGACACTGAACTATAAATAAAAAAATATTTTGGAAACTTTTTTCGATTTTAAAATGCGATTATCCAGCCCAACACGAAAAATAACACCACTGGAGATCGACCCATACCACGGCCTCACAGAAAAACCGGTGTGTAACAACCACAATAACGTTGTGTTCCGCCGTGTGAGTGAGGTTACCGGAGGCCCAATCTTTCCCCTTTCCCCTTCCCCAATCCCTAATCCATAAAAGGTCGGCAACGCACTCGTAACTCTTCCTTTGCAGGTGTCTATGGGCGGTGCTGATTGCTTACCATCAGGTAATCAGCCAGATCTTATGCCGACCTATTACAAAACAAAACGATGTATTGCTTATAAAGGCACACATAGAAACTAATTTAAGCTGCTGTATACAGCAACACAGGCCACCACTGGCGGACTGGAGGTCTGTCTGGTGGGATATACCTAATTATGTTTTTTGACAAAGCACATGTTTAATTAGTACCTAACACTAAAGATTATCAGAAAATTTACTTATTTAAAGCTTATTGTTGTTGATAGAATGCAATGGTTGTGGACATTAGCATCTATTCGCTGTGCCATTCTCCTGGTCACTCATGCAGATATAGTCTTATTATACATTAGACTTTATGTAACTTCTATTTTTATTGCTATATGGGAAATTATATCTAGTTTAATCCAAAATTTCTGAATCGATCTTTGTTTTTGATAGAAATTCCATACATTCAAAGTGAAATTGAAGTGTCAAAAATCGAACTTAATTCATAGTAAATCTATGAATTAAGTTCGATTTTTATTTTATCTATTGTGTAATAACTAGATCTTAACTCAGAAATAAAACAATGAATACTTGAATATTCTACGTTATAATTATAATTATTCCAAATTATATATCTTATTGTTGAGTTCAACACAGTTCGAATTCCCGCCAAAAATCCGAGTGGTCCCCGTTAATGTCGACATCTAACCATAACTATTAAATTAGTCGACTATTACTTTAGTGGTGGGTATCACTTTTACATACTAAAATACAGAAGTGTTTACTTGTCTATGACAGTAACAGAGACTTGTCACCACAGAGTACTATAGTATAAACCTGTCACTTTACAAATAACAATGTTGACAATAAGTTTACAATAAAACTATTAGTTTTACAGTTCGGCCATCCTTCAACAAGTGAGTCCTCTCACTTCAATTCAATAAGCATAACCAATTAATAATAAATATAACCAATAAATTATAGCAATTATACAATAATAAATCTCCTTATTATTTAGTCACATGTGTGTGACATTTGTACTAAATAGCATTCGTTTCTGAACCGATTGCTCATAGTCTATGCTAACAACAAAACTAAATACACTCTCATCTTGCACGATCTGCTATGGTCAACAATCATCTGTACGATACCAATAATTTGATACCATTCGTTTCTGTACTGATCGTTGATAGCCGGTGCTCACAATAAATCTATCACAAACTGACATCTTGCACGATCTGCTATGGTCAACAATCATCTGTACGATACCAATAATTTGATACCATTCGTTTCTGTACTGATCGTTGATAGCCGGTGCTCACAATAAATCTATCACAAACTGACATCTTGCACGATCTGCTATGGTCAACAATCATCTGTACGATACCAATAATTTGATACCATTCGTTTCTGTACTGATCGTTGATAGCCGGTGCTCACAATAAATCTATCACAAACTGACATCTTGCACGATCTGCTATGGTCAACAATCATCTGTACGATACCAATAATTTGATACCATTCGTTTCTGTACTGATCGTTGATAGCCGGTGCTCACAATAAATCTATCATAAACAGACATCTTGCACGATCTGCTATGGTCAACAATCATCTGTACGATACCAATAATTTGATACCATTCGTTTCTGTACTGATCGTTGATAGCCGGTGCTCACAATCACTAATTTATACAATAATCATAATCCATACGGACCTATAACACAGTGCCATTCTTTATTAGTGTTAATCATCTAGTCTCAATCGCAATACATTTCATATTGACAGTTAAATTAATTATACCATGCAATTATGCGAAGCACTGATAATCATTTCAATAATTCATAGGTAGATTATGAAACATTTCTTAAAATAGTACCTAAATACTAAAGTAACAAGTTAAAGTACTATAAAAAACACATTGTTAGTTTTTTTTTCAATGCCATTAATTCATTCCTCTTTGTCATTTTCATTACTATCCATCTCGTTATCATCATCACTAGAATAATCATTAAAATTTAGCCAAGGATGAATCTTATCGATTGCTATTATATTTTCGTATCGTTTGTTTCCTTTCCTAGTTAGTGGCGTGTCCTCGACTACGAACCTGTCGTTCGGTAAAATTTTTACAATTCGGTACGGGCCTTGAAGTTTTGGTATTAGCTTTTTAGATTTACCCTGATGCTCTTTATTAACGACTGTCCTTTCAATTCTAACTAGATCTCCTACACTGTATGATTTCGGTTTCTTTCTATTCTTGTCAAACCTAGCTTTCGCTTTTTCCTGATCTTTATCAATTTTTTTTTTAACATCGGACCTAAGTTGCATTAGGTGGTCACTACTAACTAACTGAGTCGTTTCAGAAATCGCATCTCCCAGTATATTCTCTGAAGGCGAAACTAATTTCAATCCGAATAATAATTCTGAGGGACTCTTGCCAGTCGCTTTACTGACAGTGGTATTCATACCTAACTGAATATCTCCTACATACTCATCCCATGTATTTTCATTGCTACCATGGCATTTCGTACTTAATGCGTCGGATATGGTTCGGTTGAACCTCTCGACCTGTCCATTCGCTCTAGGTGTAGCTACCGCATTCATTATATGTTTTATGTTTAATTTGTCTGTGAACACCTTGAACTTCCTACTAGTAAAACATGAACCTCGGTCTGTTATTAGTCTAGACGGTGCACCAAAGTAACTAAAATATTCATGAAATACTTTAATTGCAGTTGAAGTTTTCGTATCTTTTACTGCACGTATATTAACAAATTTTGTAAATGCATCTACAATTACTAAAATATACATGTTTCCCCTTCTAGAACGAATAAACGGGCCGAGATGATCCGCATGCAATGTATGGAACGGAATTTCAATCTTTGGAATAGGGTGTAATAAACCTTCCTTTTGGCCTGATGGTACCTTATGGTGTGCACATTGTAAGCAAGATGATACATATTTCTTTGTAAAACGACGCATTTTTGGGAACCAAAATGTTGCTTTTAACCTACTCAGCGTCTTGTCAAAACCAAAATGCCCTACATGGTCGTGGTTCATGCGCAGTACTTGCCATCTAACACCCCTTGGTACTACCCAACGAAGTCCCTCATCTAAGATACGGTATACATAACCATTCTTCAATTGATAATTATTTCGTACGTCGGCAACGTATTTCGTCTTATCATCGAGAAGAATTTCCCGGATTCGCTTTATCTCTTCGTCGTTACTCTGTACAGTTGCAATCCAATCGGTTGCCTCTGTTTGCAATACGTCGATTACGTGTGTATCAGTATCGTCAGTGTGTTCAGTTACCGGTGCACGACTCAAAGCATCTACATGAGCCATACGCGCGCCTGCCCTATATTCGATAGTACAGTCGTACTCCTGCAGCTGAACCCACCATCGCGCAATCCTAGGTATGAGATCACGCTTTGTCAAAGTCGTTCTTAACGCATTACAGTCGGTTACTATTCTGAATTGAAGCCCCAATAAATACACACGGAAACGACTTAAGGAAGCAACGACAGCCAACGTCTCGAGATCGAAAGAGTGAAGTTTTTGTTCCTCTTCTGAATTTTTCCGACTATAGTAGGCTACAGTCCTCAACTGGCCGTCACTACCACGCTGCATAAGGATACCTGCGATACCTATCTTGGATGCATCAGTATGCAATTCAGTCTCTAATCGCGCATCGAACAAGGCTATTATAGGTCGTTCTGCGAGTTTCTCCTTGAGAGTGTTAAAAGCAGATGTACATTCCGCGGTCCATTTCCACTCAAACTTAGATTTTAAAAGATTCGTTAATGGACATGCTATTATTGCGAAATT